CTTCCAAGGTATATTCAACTGGCGAACCACTGGATCTACCCTACCACAAGGACAAGGAGCTGAGCGGATAAACTCCGTCATTCAATAATTCAGACTTTGCTGAATTATTGAATTCGTGTGACCAACTGAACCACTTTTGAGATTAATATATACTCACCTGAAGTATTTGTGTTTCTCTTTTCCCTCTTTCTTCTAAATGTAATTTCTGCACCTAATGTATATACCTAGAATTTAAAAAACAAGAACTCCCCAGTAAACTTGAATCTCTTTGGAAATGTCCAACGAAATCCCTCTTTCAGGCTTAGCCCTGTTTCGGACATGAAGTGGATGATAGCATTTTGTAACTGGTCTACTCGAATTCCAGATAGTGCCAAAAATATCTCTGTGCAGGGGACGTATTGTGAGCGTTTCACCATCTTCATCAAATAACCCAGCTCTCAAAAGTATCAGCTGCCGTTCACCTTTGATGTTTGCGTGAGATGTTTTCAACCGTTGAAGTTGACCGGTTATATCTCTCCTGCAACTACGGAGTGGCAAGTACTCTTTGATGTTACGATTGTACTTCGAATTGCCACATGATATCCACGAGTGTTTCGAAAACGAGCAAGTTAGACTTGCAGCCATAGAAGAAAATGTTCAGCCAGCATATGACTCTGTCTTCTACAATATAGATTAGTAACTTCGTGTATGAATTCAAATGTTTTTACAGGTGTACTGAACTTTCGCCCTTTCCCGCCAAAGCAATCTGCATAGGGAAAAATCGCAGACCTCTTGGTTCGCGGGCTCGAAGCAAAGATGGTGGTAAGTAGAACACTATCAATACATGTTTGTAAGTCGTAGTTTCTATCGCATTATAAGACACATGAAGACACTAGAAAAAGATATTTTTCATCCTTCAAGCAAAAGAAATAGCATTTTTGGAAATGAAAGTTACTTTTGATCGTTCTAATAGCGGGAAAATATCAACGAGACAGGTTATGACTTATCGAGCTACACGACGAAGTAACATCATTTCGTCGAAGAGAGAAGATTTTTTACTGGGATCACAGCGGGAAAATTATTCCCTTTAGCCTTTCTCAGCCGCAGAGGTATGTTTTTCAAGTATCATGTTGTGTTTTTGAGCGATCAATTAAGTATCCTGTTCCGTATATTTTTTGGCAATTTTTAAAACGATTGTGTTGGCTCATATTTTGTCATAGTTCCGAGGCTGAAGTGTCCATAATTTCACAAAACCCAGACTTTTGAAAGCGTAAAACAAAACTCTAGGTTATTCACTTAATAGAACCTATATTAGATTTGTTGTAAGGTTTGCGAGAAATTTTAGAAATAATTTTAAAAATGCAATACTTTTCTAGCTTCCAGAAAAACGTTGAACTGTCCTTCGGTTAGTACACGATCACGAGAAGTAAAAAGCCTCAATCTTTCTGGTTTATACGTGTATTCGAAGTTAAATCATTCAGTTAGACCGCCGGCTTCTCATTTATCACTCACGTNAGGGCGGGAAAACGTGACAAAGTTTCGTTTTGATTCTGATTGGTTGAGAGGATACACGAGTTTGGCTGGACTAATCACAAAAACGATTACTTTCCGATTACTCGGACTACTCTCTACACTCAATTGAAAGGTATATTTGGAACAAAAAAACAACTGTATTTTCATGGATGCCATAAGACGAGTTTCTACGTTAACAGTAATGTAGATTTTCTACAAAGCTTTCCATGTTTATCATTCAGAAATCACGATAAAAACTCTTTCACTTGAAATTTATGAGGATTTACGCTCTTCTTCCCTAGTACAGAGAGAGCTGACTGACTTGGTTAAATGGTGTACTGAGGCACGCGTGATTTGTAAGAAGTAACGTCCTTAGTAGGTGCAATGAATTCGCCCCCTCAAAAGAGAAAGCATTCTACAAAGAAACGCCTTGATTTAAAATGAAATGAATCGAATCCGGAAAATTTATGTAGTTTGAACTTGGTTAACCTCTCAAGAGGTATGTAAGCCACTCTATCTATAGCTCAAGCATTCATTCCTGCTGTTATTGGATGAAACAAGTCACGTAGTGTAATTTTACCGGACGAACCTGCGGTTTTCAACGCAGCATCCAAACATTGGGCATGCGCGAGGGAGTCCATTCAGGATCAGGCCGGACGCACGCCAATTTCCCGCGCAAAATTTCAAAGTAAATGGTTAGAGACAACCACTTCCTCGAAAAAATTTCGAGAGAAAATTGAAACACTATAGAAATCTGTAAAAGGAAACAAAAGTAGGGAAAAGGAAACCTAGAGATTTTTCAAACACGACTGTTTAAGTACGGGTATCCTGCTGATTCACTATTTGTTTTGCGCTTTACTAAAAAAAAGTTCTACGCTTTAAGGAAAACGTCGAATTACTGGCTTGTGTGGTTGCATGTAAATCGTGAGAGAGAACTTGAAATTTCACTGCAGAAGAAAATCAACTGATCGACTGATACTAACATGAAACCCCTAGAACAGTGTTACAGATTTCATGAAACGAAAATACGCATATCAAACCAACTTGATGGTCATCGTTGCCTGACCGACCAAAATTTTCAGTCAAAGAAATTCGCACCGTTCTTTCAATTTCCTTTTAACGACGTCATATCGTTTTACAACATTTAAAAAATTTAACGAAAGTCTCCACGAATAAGAGGCAGTGCGCTGTCAATGGACTGCTTATTTGAACGGGCCGGGTGCTAATTTTAGGTGTAAATATCAGACAATATTTATCCCGTCTCCTCGAATATCTGTCCGATTGCAAAGTCGAACGAGGAAAGACAAAGAAAGAACAAGAAAATCAATTCTCGCTTTGTTCCTTCGATTTTCATAACTTGATTCGGACTTACTTGAATCGGGCATAAAGTGGTTGTGATATACCGACCAGCCGGCTGATCAGGTCTACTAAAGAATATAATTCCTAAATACATCTGTAAATTGATTACGATTTTCCCAACTCAACTGATCAAAGAAACGTAGGATAATTAAGCTACCCCCTCAATATCTAACTCAAAAAACCCTTCTTCTTCTTCATCACTATGGAAACTGAGTTTGCGCGCGATGTTCTCATAAGTTGGGCCATGTTGGTGAATAGCCGGTGGCGGAGTACTA